AAAAAAAAAAAAAAAGATCACCCATTTATTATGCTGCAACAATTTCATATGTATTTCCTTGTTCTTGATTTTATATTTTGAGGTTTATAGATTTGAGTTTATAACTGATACAAATTTGTTGGGGCTGGAGTGGATAAGTGCAATATGCTTGGCACAGAGAAGCATTTAGATTTTCCTGAATAAATTATAAACTTTTAAGTAGTGTAGATAAAATGCCATGAGTGTCCATTAAGGGTTCTGAATAATTAATCGCTTTGCATAGCTGGATGGCTTGCCATTACTTTGTGCTTTGGAAAAATAATTTATCTTATTATTTGGAAAAGATGACTTTGAGTACCATGTGACAGGATGTGCTGAACCTCCGTCTTCAGAACTTACTTAATAACTAGGAAATAACTGGGCAGTAGTATCGAGTAAATCTGAGGAGGGTGGTAAGAGACGGGACAGGCAGAATGGTGTTCCTGGCGAAGGGAACCAACTTAATCAAGCCATGGATAAAATCTGCAATGAAAAACAGTGGCAGTGGGAAAAGCCAACTAGAGAAAGAAAGGAAGATGACCACAGGGCCCGGAAAAACAGGTAGAAGAGTTCCGATTTTATGCTGAAGGCAGTATGGAGCCCTGGAAGACTGGGGCAAAGGGCTACTGAAAAGAAAGCTGTCGCTTGGCCTGCTACAGACCTGACTTGCAGGAACCAAGTCGGGAGACACCGAGCTTCCTCTCAGTATTAGGGCAGGATGGACGACCCTGCATAGCCCGGGTTCTCTGGTCCCATTCTCAAGGCAGCTGTGGGGCTCAAGCAGAGTCCCACGCAGGTCAGGTTACGTCTTCCAAATGATCGATCATCATTGTAGTTGCAACTAAAACCACACCTCGCCAAGTAAAAAAGTTCTACGACTGATTAGTTCGACACTACCATGTTTTCTAAAATATACGGATTGGCTCACTTTATAGATGAACCAAGAATTGAGCAGGCATCAGGCGAAAAACAGATTAAGTGCATACTGTGTCCAAATATATGAAAGTGCCAAACAGGCCACGGTACGCACAAAAGCTCTCCTGACCTCAAGGGGCAAAGGCTGACTTTGAATCTGCTTTTAAACAACTAGTGAATGATAGCAAATAAAAGGAAACTGCGACCTTTTCAAGGGGTGTCGAAGGCACCGTGCCTGCAGGTTCTCATTTCATTCCTTCCCAAACAAATTACTGAGGAAGAACATTCCTCCACCTAGACCTTCCAGCGTGAGTCATTCGACAAACACGGGCATCGCAGGTGGCTCCATAATGCAGTGAGAAAACTGCGCTCGTGTAGCAACCCCTCTCTAACATCAAACCAGGGCGCTGCCTCGACTAAAATGGAATCCACGCAGAAGAGGGCTAAGTACACATCTGCTGACAGCTTTTCAGTTGTTTATTGGAAATCACAGATTTTTCTTTAAACTCACTAATTATTTTGCCATAAAGAGCAAAACTCAAATAATATAAATATTCAACATTCTGGTATAAAATTAATAATATGGAAAAAAGATGCAAGCCAACCGGGAGGTAAAAAGGTTTTTTTCAACAACAACACTGTGTGCAATCATCTTTTGCTCAAGTGACCATCCAGGCTAGTAGTTTATTTTCCCTTTGCTGACATTTTTTAAAAAGATAGCCCTGCACTGGAGCACCAAACGTGTTTTTTTTCCTTCCTTTGAAAAAGGTTGGAACACTTCTACTTACACTCTTCTCAGTACTTAAAATCTGATAGAGGAATCATCCAGCAACTTCCTTTTTACAAAACATGGAAGTGCCTTCATACTTCCTTCCAATTTAAATTTGTTTCAGTCTATGCTAAGCAAAAATAAAAGATTTCAAGAGAGCTCTTTCAACAAATAAATTACTGTTCCACAAAAGTTTTGCTGTAAACAAGATCACTTCAATGGTCAGAGAGATACTGATGTTTTCAACCAATGGCAAATTTTAACAGTTCCAGGTAAAGCTCCATAGAGTACCTATGACCCAAAGACAAATAGTTATCAAACGATCAACTAATACAATTAATTATAAAGCTGCTTTGTCAAAATGTGCTTTTGTTCTCTACGGTGGCTAAGATTGGTCAGCAATTCGAAACTGTGATGATCTAGAACTCTGAACCTACTCAACTACAGTAACTACAACCTAGGATGTTTGACACTGTAGTCTTAACATTACTTAAAATACTAAATTATCTAAGCAATGTAAACAAGCTTCAAATTTCAAAATAGAAAAAAAACAAAAAGATTTTTGTAAACATTAAGTCTACCTGCTAAGAATTGTATCACCCTCCAGTTGTATATACCGAGAATCCTTTTAGTTGTGTTTTGCCAGCTTCTGAGGTCCTCTTATTGAATGAGACCTCTGAGCTTTCCGTAACAGGTGCTTCTGTAGCCAAAGATTTTATAATTGGTTCAGCTGTTTTTGTTGAAGTCACTATTTTGGCCTTTATAGAATCTCCCTTGCAAAACATGTGACCTAATTCTTTCTGTCTTAGGGGGTGAGTGTTGTTTGCATCCTGGCCACATTCTTCTCCTATATTATAGGAGAAGAATTATTGTAAAATAAATATAATTTAATTTATTAGCTGTTAGCCACAGCTAATAAAGAATATGCAGCTTCACAAATAAAATGCTTTCACTCTCACCCTGGCAACTTCTCTATCACTTCTATTTTGCTTTCAAGTTTGAAATATTTAAAAGACAGAGATCAACTTTGACAGTTATTTGATCAAAGGATCAATTGCTTTCAATAATATCACTCCAATTTGAGATTTAGTACTCTTAAAACTGAACTTAGAACAAAATACTGTAGGTTATGAGACTGTTGGGAAGGAAGGGGTTAATTTTGGTGATCAGTACAATGACTTAGATACTAAGATTGTATTTTATAAATTACAGAGAAAAGAGGTCTTTAATGTTGTCTTTCCTTCCAAAATCTCTTCCATTATTCTATTCCTCTCTGCAAACCTTCAAATAACTACCTGAAACAAGACCAATACTCAATCCATAAAAACTAGTTGAAAAATTCATTAAGTTAAAAAGAGCATATTAGAATTAACAATAATTTCTCCCTAGAGAAGGCCCTATTGGCAACAAACTGCCCATGTTTGGTGGCATTTTTCTGATGTTAGCAGACAAAACGCACCACACAAAGTACCAGTTAGGGTAGAGCCAATGATTTCTCAAATTTCACATTAAACTTTGAAAGAATGATACAAATACATTTTAAGTGATGCTAACACTATCTAGATAAATAGCTACATAGCTGTGACCTTCAGTGACTCAACTGTTTATAATGAAATTAAAAGACATTTTTTTGTATCTCTTCTTAACAGGAGATTTTCTTTTACCAGATTTATATATTTTTCCTACGCCAACCTTTCCCTGCCCCCACCATCAAGTGCTCTTTAGTAAAAACAAACAGGAATGCCTGGTCTGATAATATATTAATTTCTTTGAAATACTGTACTATACATTCACTTGATATTTCCAAAAGCTGTTACTCTGACACCAAGGCTTCTTAATAACTCTCTACTCCACAAATGTACATGTGGTGTTGAACAAGAATGTAAATTTTACATTAGTTTTGTCTTTATTCATAATATAAACCATTTCTTTTGGGGGGTACCGGGTATTGAACTCAGGACCTTGCAAGTGCCAGGCAGGCAGCAAAACCATTGAGCTAAATCCCTGGCCCCTATATAAACCATTTCTAAATATTAATTCCTTCAAATGTAGTTAGGCCAGGAAACGAAGATAAACTAGGCTTTAAAAATATTTCTTTGCCTTTCACATTCACTTGCTACAGGGCACAGACAGCAAAAGGTTTTCCATCCAGGTTTGGCTCAGTGACAGTGGAAACACACAACATTCAAGTACTGCTAGACAAATGCAGCCCTGCAGGGATACGTGTCCACGTAGGTCAGTCTGCAGAGGAGTGCGATCTTCATTAACCTGCAGTAGATTTGCCCAAAAAGTCCTCTTGAAACATTTTTGACCTTAGGATCTGTAGCGTCCCTCCAAAGGTCATAAAGATCTTGTACATGTCCATGAGATGTCATCATTTTTTCATAGATGCAGGGATGGTAAGGAGCTCTTCCTTCCCCAGAAAAGAAGACGTGGTACTGAGGCACTATCCCCATTTTGTTGGCACAGAGCCCCATAAACACATCGTCGATGTACAGACTGGAATTCAGCGTCTGGGAGGCTTCATAGACCTTGGCGGCCACGTCACTGGAGATGACGTAGGCGGCGCCGGCTGTGTAGTCGGGGTAGGAAGGCCACTGGTACATTTCGTAGGAGACGTAGTACTTGCTGCTCCTATCTCGGACGGGAGGGGCGCCACGGTGAACGCGACCGATCCAAAAGTCCCGCACACCAATCTGTTCTAAACTTTGAAGGTATTCGATGAGGTTTGGCATGTGAATAAATATGTCATCATCAGCAGTCATTAAGAACTTGGCATGTGGACAAAAGGTATTCGCCCAACTGAACTGTAGAAGTAATTTCAGGGTAAGGTTGTAGAAAGAATCGACAAAGTCTTGCTGAATGATATCACCATACATCTGATCTTCCCAAACCAGTTTTCTTTGTAGTTCTTCTCCCCTTGGCGGGCTGGGAGCTCCTAAAGCAAACAGAGTTTTGATGTTGGCATGAAGTTGAGATCGAACATACTTCTCGTTGCCCCAGGTCTTTCTAATGGCAGAACGTCGGTCATAGTTTTCGGGAGCAGTCTTTACAAACAGTAAAAGAAGGACATCTTGAGCTTCACACTTCTCCCTGTGATTAATCAAGTATGGGTAGCGGGACCCCTCCAGGCTGCGCTTAACAGACAGGGTATCGTTCACAAAGTCATAGCTATTGATGAGGTATCGGTAGGAGTAGGACTTCATGTGGCTCACAATGTGATTGTCGATAGGTCCCCAAAAGATCATGAGGCTTAGGATAAAACAAGTGGCAAATAACTGAATAAACTGACATTTTTTGACTCTTCTGCCACTAACAAACATTCTCATATCCATCCGGGTCTGTTTTTTTATTTAGGGTGAGTTTGAAATGGGAGCTTGCTTCTTGGAGAACACAGAACGTTGTGTTTTGTAGAATAGATGTTCATCTTAATATATGTTGGTCATGAAGACAGGAAAGGACCTTCCTCTTTCACATAATATTTGCTTCTAGTGCCATTTTTTTCTAGGGTTGCAAAAGAATGAAACATGCTATTGAGTGAGGGCACTGGCACATCAAAATTCTCCCACAGCGGCGTCCTTCATTCTGTCTGGTGCACGGCCCCATGCAACTGGTTCATGTGCCGCTGTCCTCGAGCGTGAACTGCCGCCTATCAGAATCCAAAAGAGAAAAGAACAGCAAAGGAACGGGTTACGCATTACCAAAAAGACACATACACTCCTAATTCCTCAAAACCAAGCGTGATCTGATGATTGCCCCCAAAAAGCACTGAGGCAGTCAGTATATAGCACAGGCATACTGCTGGTTTTTAGAGGGATAAAAACAGGGGAAAGGGGGGTAAAAAATCACTGGATTTGATACTGTTTTTCCATGCAGAGTAAGACACCTTCTTTTTTCTCCTCCCTCTCTTAAAAAAGCAAAAACAAAAATCCAAATCGTTATCATCACGTATACTTAAAATTCAAATGCCACAAGCGGGATTATCCACGGATATATTAACTTTGAATATAGTCAGGATGAAACAAATTGTAGAGATCAAGGCAAAATACTGTATGAAAAGAAAGTTCATAGCAATAAAGGTCCATTCGTAGTTTGCCCAGCCAAGGCAGGGATAAGAGTAAGACTTGTTAAAAATCACAGTTCATAATCAAGGAGTCACAGTTTGCTTTTGAAAGCATAGTACAGATTCTCCCCCATCAGGATTATTCTGTAAGCCCAAATCTATGTCCTCTCTTTCCCTCCCTCCTTCCTTCCGTGGACACTCACAGGCTCCGCCAACTTAACCTGTTCTAAACCAGGAAGCAACGGGACGGAGGCCACAAGCTCGGTCTTGGCAGCCGGGGAATCTGAAAACCAGTGGGGGCTTAGCCACCTTAGTGTTTGTTGTATTACATCATGCTTTTTACTCAGAAACCTGAACACTGAGGGGCCACTACTTAAAAGCTTTTGCATGGAGTGAAGGGTAGATACAGGTAGAAGGGGGTGGACGGATCAATACCAGCATAAGAATGCCATTCCTAACACATCCCTCCGGCTTACCTGACACTTACCGTCGGTGTCTTCCCTTGATCTGTGGCTGACTGCACTTCGTTAACTAATCTAGTTCTTCCTTACACAACTGTCCAGTCCCATGAATCACCCCGGCTACCTCTCTCCTCACGCCCTCCGGCACCATCTTTCTCACCCAGACTTGTAGACGAACAAAGAGACAAAAGGATCCCTGGCCAGCCCGACGTCCACTTCACCGTCAGCGTGCCCTTTCCAAAACTCGGACTGCCCATGAGACCAGCTGAGCCCCGCACACCCCCAGAACCCACGCACCAGTTCACCAGTCAGCGACAAGAGGCAGTCTAGGTCACGACAGCACAGCACCCAGGAGACACGTCGGGCTCTGATCCTCCAGCATCTATCACAGCCACCTGGCCATCCTGCGTCCCACCCTGTGCACCAGCAGCACTGTGGCACGGTCCGCCCCAACTCCCTGCTCCCCCGAGTCCTATGGGCAGACTTCTCAGGGAAGCCTAACCGGGGCCCCATTCCCTCGGACACGTTCCTTTTCTGCATCACACAGCTCCTTCCTGCTCCTGGTACCGAGGCATTTTTCACACAACATAGCAGACAGCGCCATGAACACAGACACACAGTAAATGTTGATCAAATGCTTGTGCCCAGAGCCCTGCTGGGTCAGAGTGACCTCTCCCCCTGGCTATACAGAAAGGACTGAGAGTCAGAACCAGAGTCGCCTCAGATGTGGGCCGTGCCACCGCTGCCTACCTCACTTCTCCCTTTTTTTCCCTGCCACCAGGAGACAGCACACCTCACCTCCTCCAAGATTCTGTCCTGTGTTTACCACAGACACCCCCTTGCCTTAAAGTAGGCGCTGTCTCTCAAGGCACATAAGTCCACCGGACTTTGACCAAAACCAGGAGGAAGAAGGTGACGCAGGCAGGTCACAGCGAGCCAACATCACAAGCCCAGGACTGAGACCGACCCTCAAGCCTTCCCAACCTTGAACTTGGCACCAAACCAGCTGTGTGTAGCAAGTGATCCGCAGAACAGACCTGGCTCTGGCTGGGATGCCTCCTTCCATACCTCTGGACTTTTGACTCTGCTGCATTTCCTGTCCCCCATGATCACTCCCAACTAGGACAAAAACTAAGAAAGTCTCAGTATCGAAACATCCGCAAAACAGGCAAGAGATTAGAAGAAGCCCTTCTGAGACTTTGTCCAGAGCTAACCAGCAAGGTAGCACTTTACCCGCCAGAGCAGTCAGTGATGGCGAACCTTTTAGAGACTCCGTGCCCAAACTGCAACCCAAAACCCATTTATTTATCACAAAGTGCCAGTACTGCAATTACACCTGAATACTGAGGTTTACTTTAGAAAAGTAACTGGGAACCGGGATCTGGGAAGACTTGGCTCGCACCCTGACAGAGAGGGCCACAGGTTCACCACCTCTGCCTTACAGCACAGATTTTCAAAGGCCAGCACCACTTAGGACGCCTCAGGAGAAAGAGGAGTGGGGGAGAGAAGGCGAGAGGAGGGAGGGGAGGAAGAAAGGCACGGAAGGGAGGGGAGGAGGAAGACAGAGGAAGAAAAAAGTGGGTGCAGAAAGTAATGCCAGTTCCGTGTGAAACAGTCTGATGTGTGCGTCATTGGCAGATGGGATGTAAACTATGTCAGTGGGCTTAACCTTCTGCTCTAAGGGACAGGTGACATGGGCAGTGTCCCCCTTTGGACAGGCTGGCCTGCGGGGATTGATGCTCTCCAGGACAGTGGGAAAGGCAGCAAGCAGGAGACATCGGCTTCTGATGGTGGCGCCCGCCTACACCCTGCAAAGCCACTTTCACCCAGAGGCCACTTCCCCTCAGTCTTTCCACCGCGCTCACTCAGGCCAGGCACCATCGTCTGCACAAGCAAAGGCCCCTCTGCCCCCTCCACAGAACCTCTTAAACTTGCTTAAGGCAAGGTAACCCAACTCTTCATGGCAGGGTTTAAGACAGCATCAGTATTTAAGAATTCCAGGAAGAGTCTCAATTGAAGAGAATCCGCAGTTTCTACTCCGACAGCCTCTGGGAAGGGAACAAAGTAGAGGCAACCTTTGGAACTGAGAGATTACAAGCAACTCCAGCTTACCATCCCCAGGCAGCACAAGCCCGAGCTGCTTACCGCACTACCTGCACACATGCCCACTCCTCCGGTGTGCAAATGTGCATCTGTCTCACCAGCAGTGCCCACACATCTGCAGTGAACCCGGCCAGCATGTCCTGCTGCTGCTGCTAATACTGCAACCAGAAGCTAGCAGCTGACCCGTAATGTTCATGTGATCTCCCCAACTGTACGCAGTCGCCTTATTTTCCTGTATTTTTTCCCACTGTTCCAAATGGACCTCAGTGAGTCCAAATGTTTTCTGAAAAATGACAAAGAACCTGTCACCAAGCCAGCAACCCTTGCTACACCCTCAGTACAGCATATGAAGTTCCAGAGCAAGGTTGCTCCCACTTGGCAGTGTGAATCGTGTAGCCACAGACCTCACGGATGTGCCGGTGTGACACTGGGAAGGTAACATACCCATCTACAGGGCTGGGGATGTAGCTCAGCGGCACCACACCCGCCTTGCAAACACAAGGTCCTGAATTCAATCCCAGTACCAAAAAGCAAAGACCACATTTACATCACACAGCTTCACTCTGATAACCAAAGATCATCTGAACTCCTCCAGTGGAACAGAGGCCTTTTCCAGCCCAAAGCGAAAGCACCTGTCAATCTACACTCGCTGACAAACCTGAACGGTGCCTGCGCTGCCTTTGCTGGTGGAGACCAGCGCACTCAACTGATGCTCACCCCACTCTTGGGCTTTCTTACAGTGTTTTTAAAGCCGCTTGAAAGCACTCATTTCTGCTTCCTGTTCAGAATGGCAGGGAGAAGCCAACCAGCTGTCGTAGTAGAAGAAAACGCTAGGCCTTGCAGGAAACAATGCAAAAGCAAACGCAGAGCTCAGCAGCCGCCCACGACAGAGTGCTGTGGGTACAGCTTCCTTTGTGTGCTCACGGCATGGCTCGGTGGCCAATCAGCAGCCCAGAAAAGCCAGGGTCATCCCTGTTTGGGGCCCGTCTACTATGTGACCTCAGGCCACCCTTCACCTCTGATCTGGTGATTTAATCTGCATAAATGTGATGTTACCAAAGGGAAATAAAAACTACAGGTGACTTCAGAGCCTACTGGGATATGCAAAGGAGAAGAGAGAATAGGACAGAGAACCGCACAGAGGGGAACGGGCAGACCTTTGGAATACGGCTTGAGTTTGCCTCTGCTGGAGCTAGGAGAAAGGAACTGCTGCCCTTACCAGTCTCTCTTCAGAGGCGAGCTGTCAGAAAACAAAGAAAAGAACATCAGAAATGGACCCCACCTCAAACACTTTCCAGTCTGGGAAGTGGACCCCTCTGGATGCAAAAGAGTACTTTTTTCATAGGAGACTTCTTTAAACTTGTCTGGAAAACACTAGAGTTGCTTATTGTGTTTCCACTACAAATTTCCCTATAATGACCTGGCTTTTTTCTGCTCACCCCAGCTCTCCAATCATTTCCTTAATGAGTCTACTCTGATGATCCTGAAACACTATGCAAATCCTGTCAGAATGGTGAAGTCTGAATCTAGACGGGAGTAGGGATGTGAGTATTACGTGAGCCAGGCCTGGACCGTGAAATAGTATTTTATAGTCTGCATTCTCAGAGCACTTAGAGTCCCTTTGAGATAAGGCTCATCTTTCCCATGGCCAGCAAGTCTGGAATCTCCACCTCCTCCAGGCACAACAGGCTTCCAGAGCAGAGCTCAGCGTTAGTCAGAGGACTTCAGGAAGGCCTGAGGATGAGCAGATCTAGGCGGTCAGGAGACGCAAACTTTGTTTCAGATGAGAAAGGAAGTATTGTGGAGAAACCGGGGCATATGTGAAAGCAGGAAAGTGGTCATGGGGCTTATGAGGAACCTGGAGTCCTGGCGACTACACAGAGCCGCTGAAGTCACAGGCGAGCTGGTTGTAACTGGAGCGACTCCCTTATTGTACTTATGCAGTTGAGACACGAGGACATAAACCGGCAGTGGTGTTGTAGGACAAAAAGCACAGCGATGGGGGTCAGGACAGCACTTGATCAGGGAAGAAGGTACAGCCCAGGGTGTGAGCCGCCTATTTTCTGTCGCCATAACAAAATACCTGAAGCTGGATACTTACAAAAAAAAACAAAAAACAAAAACAGGTTTATGCAGCTCCCGGTATTGGTGGCCGAAAGATCCAGCATCCCCCAGCACTGGGCCTCTCTCTGGTGGAGGTTGCAGCATAGTCAGCAGGGCAAAGCAAACAGCAGAGGAGCCCTCCTCTTGCACCAGCAGGTACTCACACCATCAGGACAACACTGTTAATCCCACCCACAATGACCTCATCACCTTGCTCTAGGCCCCTCCTCTTAAAGGGCCCACCGCCTCTTAACACCACTACACGGGCCAGCCTGCAGTGCGTGGACCCTGGGGGACAAGCCACATCCCAGCCAAAGAGCAAGGATAAAGGAGACCCTTTCAGGAAAAACAGAGGCCCAGCAGAACCTGATGGGAGGGAACCTGAGTCCCTGAGTGAGAAGCGCCACCCTTATGTTTGGTCTTAGACTTGTGCTGCTGCGTTTGACTTGTGGGAGAGACAACAAGGTACAAACATCCAGCAAGTCATCAGGACTGGAGCCGGCAGGGAGCACAGACCCACCTTGGCCCTTTGCACATGAAGATGGCCGATTTTGTGCACAAGGTGAACTCTCGGGGAGAGACGGCCAGACAGATCCAGAAGGAAAGGACTCAGCAGGAGGAGAAGAGGGAGGAGTCTAGGGGAAAGGAGCTATTTTAAAAAGCTTGTTCATCAGAAAATTAACACGGGGTTTACAAATGGGCAGTGGAGCTACACCCTCAGAGCTGTGCTGGGAGCAGCTGGGAGCTCCAGATGGGCCCCTCCTCACCTCCGGGCCTTGCTGCAGCCCAGGCATCTTCCTGACAGCAGAAGCAACACCCAACCTCAGACCTGAGCACTGAGCAGTGTTACCAAGAGACAGACAGTGAGAGCACCCTGTTCCCAAAATGTGTACCCTTTTTGTTTCTGTCCATGTTTCTTGACACCATTTCTGGCCACTGTCATAAGACAGTAACAGCAAGTAATAGGCAAATCTGTGTTTCTGCACTTCATTTAGTAGGCATCCAATGCTCACAAGTCTATGGAAACTTATTTTTGGTAATATAGGGTTGAACCCAAGGCCTTCACACTCAGCTATATCTGCAGCCCTTTTAAATTGTTTTGTTTTTGTTTTTGTTTTTTTAATGTGTTAGTCTTGAGACAGGGCCTCGCTAAATCACTAAGTTGCCAGGGCTGTGTTCGAACTTGGAGTCCTCCCGCCTCAGCCTCCCAGACTGCTGAGCTTTCAGGCTAGATCTGCCACTAAGCCGAAGGCCAGGAAAGCTTATTAATGACACGGCTACCATTTTGGTTGCATTACGTCCCGCACACTTGGGACAGCATGTCAGCAAGAAAGTTGGTTATGTGGCTTCCTGTGGAGTGACAGGTCCTCAGAGACCTTGAAATTCCAGGACCCTGACTCTCTAGAACACTCACTCCCCAGCACAAGCGCTGTACACCACCCTGCAGGGCTCTGTCCACCAGCTGTCTCCCCACCTTCCCCCCGCCCCCATCTCCAGTGTGAGATCATCAAAGCCCTCGGAGAGACCTGACCTCGCACAGATGGCACCGCCGCCTCGTCGCTGTCCTGGACCCGCTCCCTCTCAGTCCCTTCAGCAGCCATCCCGACCCGGACCCTGACCTGCCCCTCCCGCTTCCTAGGGAGGACATCAGATGTCAGGCGTCCCCTCCTCGGACCACACGCCCCACCCTCTGGGAAAGACACGGTGTGGGGAAGCGAGTGAGGTACCTGTTTGGAAGGCTAAACTCAAGGGGCCAATTAAATACAGTGACCAATACAGTATCTTAGAGACTTCCTAAAAGTCTTAGTCAATATAAAAATGTTTACTATCAAAAGTAAATAGGCAGGAACCCTGTCTGTGCTTTCATAGCCTGTCTCATGGAACTCACTCTCATTCCTGTCCCCCTGGCTGGAAGCTGCTTGGGCACAAGTTGCCAACTTCCGGGACACGCTTGCATTGAGAAAGTGTCATAAAACAATACGCACTTCAGCTCCTCTTCCTCTCTCTCTGTCTTTCTTCCTTTTTTTTTTTTTTTTTTTTTTTTTT